GCAACCCCTCAAGGTGTGGTACCGCCCCCCCCACCCTGGGCAGCCTGGTCCAATTCCTCACCACTCTGCCAGGAAAGAAATTGTTCCTCATATCCAATCAAAACCTCCCCTGGTGCAACTTCATCCTCTTGCCTCTTGTCCTAACACTGGCTCCCTGGGAGAAGAGACCAACCCCCACCTCACTCCAGCCTCCTTTCAGGGAGCTGTAGAGAGCAACAAGGTCTCCCCTCAGCCTCCTCTTCTCCAGACTAAACAACCCCAGGTCCCTCAGCTGCCCCTCATGAGCCATGTTCCCCAGATCCCTCACCAGCTTCGTTGCCCTTCTCTGGACCTGCTCCAGCCCCTCAAGGTCTTTCTCATCCTGTGGCGCCCAAAACTGACCCCAGTCCTCAAGCTGTGGCCTCCCTAGGGCCGAGTCCAGAGGCATGATTTATGACTTCCCTCTTGTTCCCCACTGTGTATTGTTCGCAGACTTTAACACCTCAATGGACATTTTGTCTCCTAGATCATTAATTATTCTACAGGGAAAAATCAGACTCTGTTCCTTTCCTCTTCTCAATCTAAGGCTCCATGCACTGGGGTGAGTATGAATGTTCAAAAAGCACCCATTATTTCAATTTCACATATAATGCTTTTTTATTGTAGGAAATTCAACGATATTTAAAATTATTTTTACTGATTATATTCCATTACCAGTCCATCTTTAAACATATTCAGTAAGGGATACATTCGGTGGCTGGCATACATAATTACAGTGGTTTTGCTGGCAGGAATCTCCTGGACCTGAGGAAGGGATAGTTGAACTTTTTTGCACATCAGAATGGTCCTACCAAGACTGCTGGGACACTGTGACAGGGTCACAGATTGCAAACTCACACAGCTTCTGAGTGAGAAAAGCCTGGCTAAAATAGTGTAATCAGTGTCCATCTCCATAGATTACAACATGTAGGATTTGGGGTTGTAAATCATCTTGCTAGAAGAGCTAAGTGGAAAAATGCTGAGTTCAATGATTTTAAAAAAAAACAACTTAGAAGCTGCTTTTCAGGCGAGTAGATGGCAGCAGAATGAAACTTGCTTGGCAGTACATCACCAGGCTTCTTTTGGAACGGAAGTTAAATCAAACTTGCCTACGTGAGGACCCAGACTTTCAGCCCTGGAGTCTGTTTGTAGCATGTTCACCATAAAAACTACTGTTCCCAGTGCACGTGGGGTTTGGGTGGTTGAATAGTCTGATGTTTCTGTTCAAGCAAGGGGCAGTGAACAGCTCACTGTATCTTGTGGTTTTTGGAGGCGTGCCTCCCCAACAGCCACCCTGCAGAGTCATATTGGCTTAGGCTTGTTTGGCAGACCAGCTTTTTTGAGCATTTCAGAGCCAGTGCTACTAAAATAAGTGTAATTATTGCTCCAGCAATTAAAGTGAGATCTCGCCAAAAGAACTCAAGACACTTGACTGGGAGAAGCCTCTTACAGATCCCCAACTCATTCCCAGTCAGCTGCCTCAAGGGCTTCATACTCACAGGAGCTGGGGTTGCACACCTGACGTTTGCAAGAGAGGAGGCAGAGACATCTTCTAACCACAGTTTTAGGTAGAGAATGTGACAGTCACAGTTCCAAGGATTATCAAGTATTTTCACCTCCTCCAGGCTGCTGAGGCTGTCCAGGGCGCCGGGAGGAACCGAGGTCAGGCTGTTGTTCTGTAGATAAAGCCTCCTGGTGTTGGCAGGCAGGACAGGCACTTGAGTCAGCTTCTGGGAGCTGCAGTCCACACACAACCCCCTCATCCCTCCCAGGGGCTGGCAGTGGCAGGAGGGAGGACAGGCCTTGGACTGGGTCGTGTGGAACAGCAACGATACGGCAAATCCCACAACCGAGATGAGTCCTGTCTTCTTCATGCTTCAGCTACCCAGAGAATGAGGATAATCATCTGATAAGTGTGTTTCTTGAGCATGGTTCTGACTGCAGAACTACAACACAGCTATGTCTTTCTTAGGGTTACTCGTGAGGTTTAGGGGTTTGGAAGAAAATCTTTAGCTTTCTGTGTTTCCCACAGACCCACTCGTCCTGATGTTAAGTAGCATAAATACAACTAGGAGAGAGTGCAGTGCTTCAGTTTTGTCTCTAGTTCATTGCTTTTTATTCCTAATTGTATGAAATGTGTTCTGGTTCAAAGTTATGGAAGAGAACATAACCAGGAGATAGTGGTAAAAACTGGGTTACTTTAGGCAAAGATTTTGGTTCCATTCCTCTGTCTTCATAGGTCTAGTGTTAAAATTCATAGAATCATAGACTGGTTTGAGTGGGAAGGGACCTTTCAAAGTCATCCAGTCCAGCCCCCTGCACTGAGCAGGGACATCTGCAACTAGAGCAGGTTGCTCAGAGCCCCAGATAACCTCATCTGGAATGGTTCCAGGGATGAGGCAGCGACCACCTCTCAGGGCAACCTGGGCCAGGGGCTCCCCACCCTCAGTGTAAAAAATTCCTTCTATCTATCTAATCTTGATTCCCCCCTCTTTAAGTTTAAAACCATCCCCCCTTGTCCTATCACAACAAGCCCTGCCCAAAATTCTATCCCCAGCTTTCTGACAGACCACTTTATGTACTGAAAGGCCACCAGAAGGTCTCCCTGGAGCCTTTTCTTCTCCAGGCTGAAATAGTTTGTTGAAGTTAGTTTTCAAAATTGAGCTTAGGAGACTGAATAATTGTAAATGTCTGAAAATCTTTCAGAGAGTATGAAGATTCTAACTGGGAAGTGTGTACTCTTATGTGGCAAAAATGTTCTTTTTTTGCTGCCTTGTAGCTTCAGGCATCTCTGAGAATATAGAGTTTAAGATTTGGATGAATAGAGAATTTGAAACGTTGCATCTCCAGTACTACTTGTCTTTTAAAGATTAAATAATCATGCTTTGAACTAGCAGGTAGTTATCCCTTTTGCTATGAGACTCCCACTTATGTTGAGTGGATCCCACTAGACTTCCATTTTAGTCCCTTCTGTTTGGCAGTTTAAAACCTCTAGAGCTATTCCCTTCATGTACTTCCTACTACTTCTTTGCATTTAAAATATATGGGTAGCCTTGGGACCAGACTGGAGTTTGAAATACAAACTCCCTTGCACTGGCTGGGAGAATTTTCAGTCCTGAAACCATCTTTCTTCATGATTTTAATACATCTAATAATTAATTTTTTTTCTCAATCGTTTGCAGTAAGTAAATGCTAGTAAGCAAAAATATCTGACTTTAAGTTGCCTTGGATATTACTTGGAGAATGGCTAAGGCTGTAAAATGTGTTGGTTTTTTATACACTTAAAGAACATTGCTTTTTAACTGAAGAAGGTGCAACCACTTGTATAACTTTGCAGACAAGCAATAGAAGCACACTGAGCACGTTTAAAAGTGGGCTGGACAAAGCCTGAGAAATAGCAAGCAGCTAGAACAGACCTATTGCAACTGCAACAAATACAAGAGTAAAAAAAAAGTTTTTACATATTAAGGCAATAAGAAGCTTAAATTGTAATCACATAGAATGGAATTTGGAAAAAAAATCTTCAAAAGGTTTTGCAGTGTAGAACTCAAAAAAAAAGGTTTTCTTCTTAAAAACTTAAAATAGGCTGAGACTATTTTCTTCTCTAGGAAGTTTCATTTGATAAAGACTGAAATTGTAGGAGAAATGGATTTTCTTTAAAATTAATTTGCTTCACTTTACATACAAGGATTATGTAATTAGCTTTTCAAAATAAAGTTAGACAGCTTTAGACTCCTGATCTAAATACTGCATTCCTGTATTCTAAATCAGGTTAATGCTACATAAATGCTAAACTTCATTACAGAGAAGCTGCAATATTAATCCTGACAATCTCCTATGTCTTTGTGAGTGAGGAGTTAGTCTGACTGTCCTTGGTCTGAACCTAGGTACTCATCTGTTATTTTTCAAGAAGTCTACTAAAGCTTTTTTCAAAGCAGATATCTTAAAAAGACAGACTATGTCATCTGAACAGAAAAATGTTAAGCAGGATCTCTAGAAAAAGCAATCTCCTCTGATTTAGCATATAACCAGCAAGAAATTACAAATCAAACAGAAATAAGAACTGTGGCAAAAGTGGAGAAAGGCGTATTGGGGAGATGCCTGAACAGACACTTACCCTTATTGATTGCCTCTTGATTCCTCTCCCTCTGCTTGGTAAAGTGCTGGGTACATGTAGCAACCAGAGATGACATTTTGAAGAGCCAGTGAGGAAACGTGTCAAAGAAGATGAGCTTATTGCTGTGCAGAGTAGGAAACCATTCCCATTGGAAGATGCTATATATGGTTGACAGTGCTTGGGGCATTTTTGTATTTTCTGCAGACAAGAGGAAATACTTTAGACTTTTTTTTGTTGTCGTTGCTAATAGATTTTTTCCATTAAACCTGACACCGTCTGGAAAACCTAAAAAGCCTCATTTGAAGACTAGTGGGTCTTTTCCTTAGCTGTCATAATCTACAGGTATAAAAGTTAGCTTAAGCTTCAGCTGCTGACACTTGCAAGCCCAAGCCAGATACAAGGGAGCTGAAGTTAGACCATGAAATAGAGTTCTTCTGTTTCAGTCAAAGCCAGGTAGGTTTGATATTTGCCTTTCCACTGATTAAATAAAGTTTGTAAAAACACACTATAGCATTGAAATAACATATTGTTCAAATGAGATCAACTTATATTATTCAGATGAGTTGATTAAGGGATAGAGAAATATTAATGCCATTATGTTGGAACAGTGCTGAAAAGCCACCCAAAATACAGTATTTAATTCTGCTCACGCATGTTCAAAAAAGATTAATCCAACAAATGAAAGGGAGGTTTCTGTGATGAAAAACCTAATTAAAAAAAAAAACTATTAAAAAACTATATTGGGGAACCTATTGTATGTGCAGAGGCCGAGTGTGACCTGTGCCTTGCATTGTGGAGCAATACAGAAGGACCTGAGCCAGAAGTACTCAGGTGGGTAGATGCCTCAGAGGATCCCTTTGGCTGGAAAAGACCTCTAAGATCATCAAGTCCAAACGTTGACCCTACTCTACCAAATCCACCTCTAAGCCATATCCCCAAGCACCACACCTATACAACTTTTAAACTTACCAGGGATGGGGACTCAATCACCTCCCTGGGGAGCATGTCCCCGTGCCTGACAACCCTTCCAGTGAAAAAGTTCTTCCTACTGTCCAGTCTAAACCTCCCCTGGAGCAGCTGGAGGCCATTCCCTCTTATTCTACCACTAGTTACTTGTGAGGAGTAACAACAGGGTGTGAAGAAGGCTATGTGTGTACATACCAAAGGATCAAAAGGGTTTTGCAATATTTTGTGGAGTGCAATTCTGTTGTAATCTCTGAATTTGGTTTGGAGTTTAGAAATTAATTCCAGGTAGTCAGGGAAGGTGTACAGGAAAAGGCTCATGGTCACAGTTATCATGGCTCCCCTTAACCAGCACAGGCTGGAGGACAGAGATGACCTTGGGCACATATGGAGCCTTTCTTCCCAGTGACAAGAGTTGTGTGTAGCTCAAAACAGGACTGTGAGCCTTCAAATGTTTTCACACTCAAGTTGCTGAAGAATATCAACTGATGAATAATGGCAGTGTGGCACCTTAGAACATACCATGCTCTGTGCCTCTTTGGCTGGCAAGCCAGTAATTCAGGGTGACCCAAGTTTATAATATACCTGTGTCTGTTCACCTAAACACAGAATGCCATCTTTGTGGGAAAGAAAAACAAAAATATGACTTCATTTTCACTTTTTTTGTTTTTTTGGTACATGAAACTTTTGACTAGAATTGAAGTAACTTTTCTTTTGCTTTAGCTACTAAACACAAACACTCTAGAATTAAGGTGTCAGTTGACATTTGTCAATCCCACTGTGTTGTGGGTCTGATGTTTAATTCAGGCCAGTTCTTGTTTGGTGTGTTGTTTTGCGCACAGGCTTTGAGTTGTATTCTGAATTTGGAAATGAAACCCCGGTGATTTTCAGAGGTTGTAGATGTTTAATAGAGCCCTGATTCTGAGCTGCTGTTTCTTTATAACACACTGTTCTTGGGGGGAAGGGAAATTTCTGACATTCAAAATGACTTCGAGAGCAGTTCTTATTATTTAACTTATATTTAAAATACTTTCCTTCATTGAGTCTAGTCTGTCACCAGTAGCCTGAACTTCATTAGGAACTTTCTTAAGAAAATTAATTCCTGTGTATCTCTGCTCTTTCATATTTTAAAGGTAATTTTGGCAGCACTGGAGAAAAAAGACAAAAATGCTTCAAACCCCATTTGAATTTTGATCTTTTCTATAAGGTGGAGTGAGTGATTCCTCCCTTGTGAAATCAAAGTTAATCTGCCTGACAGATGTTCAACAGCTGGACACATGAATGGACTGCTAACAATGAGAAGATCCTTCATTCTTAGGGATTGTGGGAGTTTTTTTATTTGTTTGGTTGGTTTTGTGTTTTTTTTGAAAGTCCATCACTAGACCATAGATTTCATAAATGTCTGCCTTCCCTCATGCCTGTTTCCTGTATCACACAAACTGTGCCACATGTCTTAAGAAATGCTGCCACACAGAATGGAAGTGTTCCTGTTTGTGTGGTGATATCCAATGCTGAAGCTTTTTGCATTGAAACAAATGCAAAATATTTGGAATCCTCTGGAATCCCTACTCAAATTCCATGCTGTGGGCAATCCTCACAGAGGCAGTCCCACCTTCCTCTGAATGCTGTGTCACACATGGTTGGAGAAGTATGTGTCACACATGCCAAGTCCTTAAATCTGTGATGTGTGATGAGGATCAAGGAGTGGTTCCTTCAGCTCTGCATGGAGGTGAGTGTGTGCAGGGAGCACCTGGCAGAAGCACAGCTTAAATACAAGGAATTTGCATTTGTAAT